AAATCTGGTTCAGGAGTCAGGACTTTCGTCGAGCAGGGTTGTGGCCAAACTCATGACTCTACGTTTTTACCTATTAACATTCTAACCAAAGAACTACGAAAACTTAAATCTTTTGGACCAACCCAAAAACACAATCAAAGATGCGTATTTATGCCCGAATTTAAAACTCGTGGTTGTTCAACTCAACCTTCGGGTAGTGCTTGAAACCTTGAGGTAATCTAAATTACCTCTCTTTTGTATTCTTGTTTTAAATATTTCTTTTGGTTATTTACATGGTCTGAAGATCAAAATAAGTTGCAAAAAAATGTTTTATTAGTGAATATATTAATTTTAATCAAAGACCTGTGAAAATCTTCAATCTTTGGACAATAAAAAAAAAAAGAAGTGATTTTTGTGAACAAATGATCATCTATCCAAGACCTTATATGGTGTAATTGGTGATTATCTATTGTTGAAGCTGTTGTTATTCATAAATGTGAATATTTTCTCTGGAAATTACGTTTAGCATAAAATTATTGTTATTATTATCTTGAATACAATTAACATAATTCTGTTGTTGTAACAAGTGTCGTCTAAGAGATTATCAAAGAAAGAGTCTTAAACCACAAGTTACGTAATAAATAGATCAAATTACAAGTAACTAAAAACATAGAAAATGATTTATTATTTAGCAGAAAGTGGAAAACCAATACCATTGCGTGTTGTAGGAAATATTGCAAACAACATACTACAAAACACTCCAACGCCTACCGGTAACGCCGTGAGAACCTCCAACGCTTCCGCAGATGGCGTGGGAAAAAAGCAATTTACCGCATTCCGATCGAATAAAACCACCGCACCAAACACCAATAACGACATGAAAGCATGAGCAAAATCTATAAACCTTAGCTTATATCTTTTAGATAGTTCTTGAGGAAGTGTCGCGGATCCATCAATGATCCAAAACCCGTTGAATGTCGCAAATCCGTAGCAAATAGTACCGTTATTGTCTTTGTAAGAATCCGTGAAGCTAAGTATGAAACAAGAGAACCCACATATTGCTACTAGCATTGATGTCATGATCTTGCTAGCTAAATCGCATTGACCTCCGTTTGAGAAAATCGGCGATAAGAGTTGAAACGCGAGTACCGTTCCTGTTGGTAAGAGATTAGCTAAATGAGCTGTGGTTTGAAACGTTTGACCTATTGCCTTTTGTATCCATGTGTTTCTTTCTATATCCGGAAAGTCTTTGTTTTGTTCAAGAAGTGGCTTTTTGATC